AATAGGTGATCCAGAGCATGAGAGACCGCCATAAGTTCCGCTTGATAGACGGAAACATATATTCCTAGATGTAGAGTGCACGTTAGATTTAGCTCTTTCGAGTAAACCCCAGCACCAGCTCTGCCATCCATTAAGGAGCCATCGGTAAATATGCAAATGTCATTCCTTCCACATTCATTATGTAGAAGGCCGTCTACTATCAATGTTCTGTAGGACACTTCTGCCCCTCCTCATAGTCTCCAATGGCATCTGCGTTTCCTTGACCGCGGCCTGGACGAGATCAAGAATCTTACGATGGCCCACTAATTTTCCGAAGTTGTTCCACGTGGAGCTCCGGTTCATGCGAATTGCTGCCAGTGCCGCCGTTTTCTTTATATGTAAATCCAACGGAAGCAATCCTAGCATCGCCTCTAATGCCGGTGTTGGTGTAGTTCGCATAGCGCCTGTTATTCCAACACAGGCTAGTCGCTGGACTCTATCTAACTTCGTCTTTATTGTCTTTTGGGTGACTTTACACCACCAGACAACTGACGCATATGTTATAATAGGTCTGACCATCATGGTATAGATCCAGTGCATCGATTTTGGGGATATCCCCTATCGTCTTCCGCACACTCTCTTACATTGAAATAGAGCTCTTTTCGCTTTCCTGATCTTTTCATCCACATGTTCATTCCAAGTCAGTTTATTATCTAGGATAACACCTAGATACTTCACCGACTTTGATATGCGAATGTTATTATCAAAAAGTTGTAAGGGCTCCATTGACAGACTTCTCTTCCTCGTGAAGAGGATAGTGTCTGATTTTGTGGCATTGATGGCCAGGCCTTGTTCCCTACACCATTTTTCGACGCATTTGAGAGCACCTCTCATCACGTTTCTAATGGTGTCTGGGAACTTGCCATTCACCATCAGTGCTATATCGTCCGCATACCCAATTGTTTGTATGCCTTTGAAGTCAAGCTGTTGAAGTAGAGAGTCTATGGTCACGTTCCACAGAAATGGTGAAAGCACCCCTCCCTGTGGGCAGCCTCTGACTGTTCTGCCTCTCAGTCTATGTCTTCCATTTTGTAGGTTTACTGCTCTTTGCCTTAACATGAAATCTATCCATCCAATAATGATTGAACCGACTTCTCGGTCAGCTAGAGCAGATTTTAATTTATCAAAGCTTACTTTGTCAAAGGCTCCTTCGATGGCCATCATGATGGCCATCGAAATGCCTCCTGAAGTCAGCTCTCTCTCAGCTGTCCTCACGACTTCGTGCAGGGCAGTCTCTGTTGATCTCCCCGCCCTATAGGCATGTTGACATCTGCTTAAAGGATATTTCATTAGCGTGGTGCATTCTAGGTAGTCCACTATTACCTTTTCCATAGCTTTAAGCATGAAAGAGGTAAGGCTAACTGGCCTGAATGACTTTGCTTCTGTGTAATCCTTTTTTCCTGGCTTTGGTAGAAAAGTCACCCTTGACTCTCTCCAAGCTTTAGGGACGTACCTTGTTGCCAGTGACGTCCTGAATATCTCCGTGAGCCTAACTGCGAGCAGGTCAATTCCCCATCGCAGGAGTGCTGGAAATATGCCATCCAACCCCGGTGACTTAAATGGAGCGAATGTCAAAATGGCATTCCTAACTGCATTTATGGTCACTATCCGTTCTGCATCAAATCTTTCGTCTCTGTTCATTCCCCTTTTGGGAGATGGCCAGTGATCATCAAATTTGAAGCTTCCTGGAAAATGGATCTCCATGAGAGTACTCAATGACTCACCTACTGTCTCCGTCATTGTACCATCCTTCTTTCGGATAAAACCAAGTCTTGAGACCGAAGATCTAGGTATTAATAATTTGGATCTTTGCTTAGGCTTGGAAAATAAGTTAATAAAAAGAAGTTGGTCATTGAAATTGTATAAATGCATACATTTAGTATTATTATTCTTGGACCAGTTTATCAATGTAGCACCTACTTGAGCACATTTCATGTACAATGCTACTAGGAGATGGTAGATGCCCTAGAGCCTCTGCCAGTAGTTCCCGTCCTTCATTAAACCGGTCGTAGCGAAAAGCTATATGTTTTGCGCTTTCCGCTATGTTGTGGCAGTTTGGGCAGTAGGGACTATCTGCCAGCGGACTCCGTGGCTGCTTAATATTCCAGTGAGATTGTAGTTGACTACACCATTTTTTCTTGACTCCCATTTTTTAATGTTGGAAATGAGTGAATAGGTCCAGCGTCTCTTAGAGGACTGCTTCCATCTTTGCTGCCATTCTTTAAATGAATATGAGCCAGCGTAAGTGTTATGCCTTACTTACCATGAAGGCGGCTTAACTACTTTGTATGTATGTCCACTGGCAGTTTTCCAGTAATGAAACAGATTGCTTTATCGAACACTGCTCTTTTGCGTCTGTATATTTGTGTTACCAAACGTATTTGATGCTTTTTTGGTGCTGCCCATATAGAAGCAGCAAAAAATATGATGGAATCCGTGTCCATAGACAGAGGACATCATCGTTTAAATGCATGCATTATAATGTGCATGTTCAAAATAATGTCGAGTGGTTTGATGTGTAATAGCAAGTGACGACAAAAATTTTTGACAACAATTTTTGACAACAATTTTTGATGTGTAATACGCGTTTTAGTCTCGAATCGCCTTTTTTCTCAGTTTTCATATTTTTTGTAATTATGTTATTCAATATTTTTTTTGACGTGTAGAGTTTTTCACTAGCGATTTTTCCACTGTTCTGCTGGTTTCTTTGAGTAAAATTCACGTCAACATCGTCCAAAATTCGCTTATTCATTTATTCAATCATTCATTGGTGTGAGGTGAACAGTTTTTGAACATTTTAATTGCTTAGGTAAAATTCAGCTACTATTAACCGCATCACCACTATCACCATAACCGTCATCGTCACCATCATCGCGACCGGCACCGCCACAATCACCTCACCGACTCTAACCCATTGACATCCAGGCATGTGTACGTACGCCTACCAGCGCGTCTATTAAAATGCAAATGTGTTGAAGAGTCTGTACGCTATACGTTCCCAGTTCGGTTGACAAGTTAATTTATACGTTGAACACTTAAACTTTTAATTATTTTTATTGTATCTGCGTACACAACAGGATCTGGTGCTCCTACTCCTACTCTTGCTCCTACTCCTGCTCCTGCTCCTGACTCCTGCTTAGCTACGTTGCAACTTTTATTGCAAATAAATTTTAAAATGTGTTTTATGGCTGTGATAAAAGTTATGCCTTTTTTTAATGTTTTGTGGATGTGCTTTTATTTTTTTATCATTATTTTTTGTTTTACAGCTGCAAATGTTCATTATTATTCATTATTACAATAAAGGACTGTTTTTTTGACGTGCTGTATTTTCATTATTTTATATTTTAATGAATTTTAATTATAAACAGAATACGTAATTCTAATAAAAGTTGAATATAACAAAATTAATAGCAAAAGTTTTTATTGACTGATTTGTTTCAAAATTATTGCTCCTTTCCTTTTTCATGGGAATGAAAGGTTTAAGTCCACTAAATCATCTTATATATTCGAAAGGAGATTCATTGTTGGCTTGAAGTCCTATATATAAGAAACAGCCTCAACCAGTAATAAGTAAATTTTTTCAAGATTGCCAGCAATATCAATCCGGAGTAATATTAGTAATCCCAACAAAGGCGGTTTCTCTCGCAATTTCTTGGTCGCATCAAAGCATAGTTTGTTTTATATTAACTGACAATTGGATCGACTGCGCAGAACGTTTAAAAATGATATACTCTATCATTAAATATTTGGGCTTAAGTAGGTGATAAGAGGATGTCAAATCAAATCAATGCATATATCTGTTTATGTACATATGTTATATATAATATGGGATAAAAACAGATGGATTAGTAGACAGATGAATAAATCGATAAAAAAAGATATCGTGAAGAAGAACCGTATAAATTATATGTATGTGTCAATAGTGTACACAGTTGGGTTTTTGTAGTTCGAACCGCTTAAAATATTTCGTACTGTTTTACTCTGGATGGAATAAATTGTTTTTCAATGAAATATTTTTAGACGAAGTTTGAAAAACTTTTTAAAAATCCCATTCTTCATACTCTCTTCGCTTTGTTTCCCTTTGTAGTTCTCGAAATATCATTATTAAGCACTTAAGTTATTTTTCCAACAAGACATTCCGTTTCATATTCGAATGTTTTTCTTGAAATAATCATCATATCATCAACTTTTCCATATATTGAGTTCAATATCATACGTTCCATATGTAACATGGTCCTTATCCGAATTAAGTCGTTCCTCAAATAGGACATTCGTTTAATTGGACATTTTTTACATTGCATCTCTGCTATAAATAGCAATTTAAATGTTAAGACGAATGATTTATGTATATAATCACACTTCATAATTATCCATGCTACATAAATTTGGATATTGAAATAGATCTTTATTTATAATAGATTATAAATTGAGAAAAACCTTTACGATGGATAAAAGTTATCAACATTGATAGTATTGGAACCGAACTAGAAGACAATTTCAGCAATTTCAATTAACTTGCCTTAGTTGTTATTACGGCGTTACTCCTCTGTCGGCTTCTTGAAACTCTGCTTATTTTTTGCGGGCAGTTCTTGGATTTATTTGACTTTTTAAAGCCATTTATTTGTCCGTTTTGAACCAAAAAAGGACATTTAAATAAAAGTACTTCAATGCATGCGCGTTCTAAACATATCTAACGAAAAGGACGAAGGTCAAACAGTTAGATCCTGTTTTATCTTCTTTCCCAATATAATATTTCTACTGTGATGAGCTATATGGATGAAATAATTTAGTTTAAAGAGCAATGCAATTTCTAAATATTAATTAGAATTAGATTAGATCAATTGTTATATTGAACTTCAAAATATGTTATGTAGAAGTAATAAATAAAGAATCTTTGGGTTTTTTTAAGATATTAAGTGTAGAAATATATTTCTTATGTAAATTATTATAAAAATAATTCGAAAATAAATTTAAGATGAAAATAAATACACTCTAAATTTCTTTGGTGGAGGTATTTGGGACGACTGTGTGTAGGATATTAGCATAAGAACTGTTAACTTCATCGTCAACTTTTAATTGTTCCAGTGAGAAGGAATTCGTAAGAAAGACAATGCTGAAGAGCCTGAAGAAAGTATTAAGTTTATTAATTTTTTTTTACTGCGTTGTGTGCAATTTGAATAGGTTATACCTTTCTTCTAACATATAAATGCGCCTAGTGACACCTTCGTGACTGTTTCGTAAAAACGATTTTGGATCATAACCACTCCAAGCGCAACAACTGAGAAGAAGCGTACCGGTAGGTAGGATTGCATGCATAATCCATCGAAGTTGCATTTGATTTAATCGATATAACCGTCACCAGTTCCACATTCTGTCGCTTCTGAATATTGGCTTGACAAAAGGCGTGAAGAGAAACGTCTAGGGTAGTTGACAGCAGTGCTCATTTGTTGAAATTTACATACGTCAGTGGTCTCTACATAGTTTATATGGGATTATATATATAACATGAACCTTTACGATAGGCATATTACCTTCATTTCCGTGGTGGTAGTCTTTTTTGATTTTTCATGTTTTTTTAAGTAAGCTGATAAAGAGATGTAACAGCAAGCATTTATTCTTTCTTATCAAAAAACGATAGTACATTCCCCTTATAATTTTGGTATCGCTCCTTGATATTTAACGGCTTTATGTTTGCAATAAAAAAAATAAATCATTTTGATAGTTAATTAAAAACATAAGTATTGAATTAGAATCAAGAGGCTTAAATCCGCAAATCAAATGTAAGAATCGACATAATTTAATTAAATTTATTATTGATTTGATCTTAGACAGAATTTTTACTTACGCTTTCCCAGTTGCTCTTGTCTTTAATATAATCACCCAACATTGTCGTCCCAACATTTGTTAGTTGATCCGTAACGGCCCCCCCACCAAGCCTAACTAAACCTAAAAATTTTTTCATTTTGTCCGAAAGAAAACTTAGTTCTGAAATTTTGAGGATAAAAAAATTATAGTCTAATTTTATGATATAACAAAATTTGGACAATTGTCAGCCTGCTTTATGATACGATTTCATAACATTTTTTTCTTTATTTTAAAAAATTAATGGAATCCATGTTAAAATCATTTGATTTTACTGGGATCCAAATATGCTATAGAACTGTTCACCAAATGAGTCTCTATTCAGAAATTTTGTAAAATTTTATTTTATGTAGTATTATAAATAAATTCCTAATAGGCTATTTTATGTCGCAATTATAAAGAATAATGTAAGTCATAATATATATTTAAAATTATTTTTCTTTTGTATATTTTTGTCTTGAATTTTAATTTATGAAAAATATTCAATTAATAAATCTATACTGTGTCAAGAGCTCCTTTTCTAGTTATCGTAGTTCATTTAACAATCCACTTCGTTTGAATAGTTTTCTTCCAAATCATTTGCGGTCTGCCACGGAGATTAATCCGGTTCGAATTCTAAGAGTGATATTCGTTATGTTTTCACAAAGCGTGTGCTAAATTCTATTTACATTTCAATTTTTACAACTACCATAGTGATTTGTGAGAAATACCTCCTACCCAGATGATACCTGAGTAACCGATAGGCCTTCTGACATTCTGAATCAAAATGCTTCTACAGGCAGAAATGATAAAATTAAATAAAAGCAATTTTTTCAGTTATCTGATGTTTCTTAGTAACTACCTCTTAGTAACTAGAATTTTATGTCGAACTGTTTAAACATTAACAAGGGAAGCAGCTCCAGATAGGCATTAATAATTATAATTTTGTTGTGAAACTATGAATATAATTGAGTTTGATGAGAACATTGAATATAGGATATTAGCCAATAACCCAAATCTGTTTGTGCTTCAAGGTATGTTTAATCAATTACACGACTAGAAAATGATGGCGAAATATCGTTCATAAAGGATACCACATAACCGTAAAGAATAATAGATATTTTGAAAGATTTACTCCTCGCTGCAACATGTGTGATGACGCAAACTTCCCGAATACTATTTGGGGAATTACTTTGAGGCAATCTTTTGAAGTTATTTGTACTTTCTAAACGGGTCATTCAATATGTTAGTACTAGCCCAGCTTTTGTTAACAATGGGCGGCAGGAAGTCTTAGATCACATTACTGTATAGTAATTATTTAACGTTTCATTGTGTTTCTGTTTGTTGTTGACTCCCTTCTTGTAGAAAAAATTTCCGATGTTTCTAAATCCGTTGGCGCTAATCTTAATTAAAATTCAGTAGGTTAAAGTAAGAGTTAAAGTAAGACAACGCAGTTCTTTGATTGAATAACTTTTGAAACATTGCTAAACAACCCAGGAAGCTTTTGAGCTGGACGAATGGTTGAGGTGAGTTTCATCAATGATAATTACTAAACCAACGGTATTTGTTCACAATATAAGATGCTCCGAAATGAACATTTTTGGCAGTAACACACACTTTTTAAAACAACTTGATAATAATTTGAGAAAAAATCTTTTGCACTTACTGGGACGTCCTCAAAAAACTGATCGGGGTCAATAAAAGACATACCATATAGGTGGCCCCCACCACATAATCATAGTAATTATCATTACAAATTCGATGACAATCTTCTTATGATGTTGTCCAACATTTGTTCATACTCTGTGCCTAGCGCATCTATTAAATTTTGTACATATATTCGTAGTATTGCTGTTTTATAACTACCGCATTTCAATCCTAAACATTTACGTCTTCAAGGAATATTAGTATCATTATTAACAGAGAAATCTTCAGCCAACTAATGAAATGAATAATAATTCATACTTGACTTTTATCTTGAAACATAAACACCTTCTGTACCCTGACATGCAACCAGTAATCTACTTGGGAAGCCGTTTTACAGATAATTTGCAACTTAGAACTTAGAAGAAATTCTGAACTTATTACACAGCCAGGCTACATAAATAATAAATATACAATAAATACATAAGAACATAGTGCATATGTAAAGACTATGCATGTGTGTAGATATAATCTCTCGATTTATCTCAGAAGGTTCTTCGCCCCTCGCTGGATACGTGTTTGTTAGAGCATCATGGTGTCAAAAGAACTAACACAATTCAAAGGACTAGCACAGAATTGGAACAGATTAGTACGATTGCAAGGCTTGGTTGTTTAATGTAAAATACTCTTTTCCCCAGCTTTGAAATATTCTTCAAAATAGTACTAAATAGTTTCTAAATAAAGAAATACTGCTTTCGAAACTACTAAATGTAGTTTAAGAAAATTCTTTGATATAGGTGGCGCAGTCATAAATTGATAAAATACTGAAACATTTAATAAATTAGTATTTAGTGCGAAGGGAGAAAATATATATCAAAACTTTTAAGTATTTTACACATCCGAAGGCACACATAAACTGCAAAACACACAAGTATGTGCTAGCACTTCTCCAAATAAATTACTAGTCTTCGTTAGATACTTCTTCCTTTCCGAAGACTGTAAAGTTTTGCCTCATAATGCGGAAAATAGCAAAAAATTGTACTTTATATGCAAAGTTCGTAGCCATTTTACAAATTACTCAATCAATTTTTTTTCTCGTTGCGAAATTTATGACTTTTTAAAAAGTTTTCCTTCTAATAGCCGAGCTATTTTGAACCGTTTCCAGTGTGATTTTGCGAGCAAGCCCACGGTGCGTATGAGTGTTGTGCGTGTTTTGCGGGTTTTGCGACGTTGGTTTCGGGTTTTGTTATATTTGTGGCGGTAGTGCTTGTGTTTGTGCACCTTAAAGTTTTCTACATTAATTTTGTATTTGCATTGACTAACGAATTTGAAGGAATTTGCATTTTCTAGTTAAATCGAGCCAATACAACTTTGGTTCACAAACACATACAAACGACACAAAGCCAAGCTATGGGCAGTGACAAATCGTGTAAAATAGAACCTACTGAGCCCCGCATTCTATGTGCAGGCAACTTGTTAATTTCTACTTTCCGTATCTTTTTTCTTTTACTTTTTGTGTTATTCCAACTGCTGCTGCTGAGCTGCTGAGCTGCTGATGTTGCTAATGCTGGAGCTTTTTGAGGTATATTGGTCTTTGGTCATCTGTTGCTGCGGCAGTTGAGTAAAATGTTACCAAATCGAAATTTTAATTGAGACAAATGTGCTGTTTGCACGAACAATGTATAAACTTAACTAAAGTGGCCGCAATTTCGGTAGTTCAAAATGCTAAACTAAAAGAAAAACCAATGCCAACATCAGTGGCAGTGACAGTGGCAGTGGCAGTGGCAGTGGCAGCAGCGGTGCTTGATTGCATAGAAAATTGGAAATGGTTCCCTATTTAACAAAGTTGCCACATCCGCTACTACATGGTTCACCATTACGCGTCTCGTTTACTTCGTAACTCTGTATTTTTCGGTTTCTTTTTCCTTTATTTTGTTGTTTTTCTTCTTTTGCGTTTTTTTCATACGAGTTTTATTGACTGACAGGCACATTTGCTCAAAACTTATGTCAAATGGTTGAGTTCTTGCCGAAGTATTAGTAAAAACAAGTTGACAGCAACTTTAGGGACCTATCAATAGTTGATTGGGTACCTTTTTTGTTTTTGTTTCTTTTTTTCTTTTTATTTTTGTTTTTTCTTTGCCTTGGGGTTACTTGTACACTTTGAAAAGTTCAAGTCTTACTTATTGCCTAATACGGCTGAAAAGTAGAGCAATGTGTGTTGCACTTCATGAATATTAAATACAAAAACACTGGCGCACGAAATACTCGTATAAGGAAGGTAAGGAAGACAAACGTAAAGAATATATATATATATAAAAAATATGGAAAAATATCCATTACATATTTAAAACAGCAGACATTATAAATAAAATGTTCTATGTTACTTTTTTCATACGAAACAATAAAAACTTATGCACAGAAATTATACATATTAAGTGCTGTATAGGTATATGTTTGTATCGACGTTTCTCTGTAAGCTTCGTTCAGATCTAAAAATTACACTACATGTGGCATTTAAATGAGTTCTCTTGTTATTATTTTTTATTGTTTAAAAGGAAATAACCAATAACAAATAACAAAAAATTGCTGTCCTGCACGACAATGTCATCGATGCTTCATCACTGACTTGGGTACATCGGGCATTGACACTGTTTGCTTCAATTTTAAAGTGCTTAGGTATATGAGTCAAGGGAGCACTTGTTAGACTGTTCTATTGGAAGTTTCAATAAGAGTAATATTATTTTACAGTGTTTGTTTGTTTGTTTGTGGTATTTTTGTTGTGTCTGGCATATCAACAAACAATTCATCGATCCCTTACACTATACATGTTTATCAAGCTGTTTAATCAATTTGTTTGAAGTTGTCATATATCTGATATCCATTCGAAATTAGCAAAAGTTGGGTGCGTTGATGACGACACCGTTGATGTGTGCATCAGTTTTCCAATGGAAAGTAACGTGTCTCCAGTTATATATTGAAACAAAAAAACCAAATATGCACCTCTAAAAAAATATTAAATAATTAATTAGAATATATCATACATGTTGGTGCAATCACTGGATTCGGATAAACAATTAAATAGTTGACTGTAGTTTTATATGAACGTTTTTATTGATTTAAATTCCAGCAATCACTAATACATTATTTTCTCTAATAATAATAATAATAATAATTTTTTTTTTTTTTTCTATTTATATTTAAACAAAATGAAGAGTTTAAATTTACAACAACTAATCATATTGACTAACAAGAGGTTTTTTTATTACAAGTAAGTTTACCTAAGTCTATCTAGGGTGAGCATATAGATACGAACTAGTCATCTCCTTGCTGGTTGAAACGCCTCAAAAGGTCATTAGGTTTGAAGCGGCATAAGCGTCTGTGAGTGACATCACAAAGTAGCGCTGGAATGGTGCTGTTTAAGTGTTGTCTCAGCCTGTCATAATGTTTTTAGCAGCCTTCTGAATTTCTTGTTTGACAGTAGGTATTTCAAGGTCACGATGTAGATCAGAATTTCGCACGT